CTGATCCTTCCAAGTGCCAGGACCTACTGGGACATGTCCCACCTCGCGTCAGGATGACTGGTTTCCATTCCCTCACAGTCAGTCCCAGAGGTAGCCACTCTTCTTGTGTTAATTCAGCCCTCCACCAAGACAAGGTCTACCAAACCATCCCTATCTTCCCTTGCACATTCCCTCCCCTCCTTTCCCTTGAAGACATCAGGTTTCTGGAAGCAATTTAATTGTGAGTTATAGCAAGGCTTCCTCGGGCAGTGTGGATTGGACTGGAGGCCCTGTTCTCCCAAAATATTTCACTTCCCCCTAGGGCAGCCACGCCAGGGACCCTGCAGACTGCCTGCCACGGAGAGAGAGAAACATCACTTTTGCCTTCAAAGCCTTTCAACTGGAAGGAGGAAAAAAGAAAAAAAACAGTAATAACAAATATCAGAGCGAAGGCTTCCTTCCCTTTGAAGGGCAGGAGGGAGAGCAGGGCGAGGGCTGGACCTGCCCAAAGCTGAGCAAGCTGAGTGGGACCCGGATCCTGCAGGGCTGGAGGACTGAGCACTTTCCTGATGAGCTTTCTTTCCAAGCAGCAGAATGATGCCTTAGGTGCAAGAATTGCATTGAAATTCAAATCGGGGTTTTGAACTCTCTCCTGCGCCTTGGGAAACCTCCCCAGTGGAAACGCAGGATAAGGAGGAGGGCAGGATTTGATACCCTGGGGAAGGGCTGGGGGGAAGGAAAGCAAGCTGCCCCATCCTGCTGGGAGGAACGCTTTAGCCAAGGGGCATTGGGCCTGCCAGTGTACCCATCTTAAAGCTCTGCCTCACACCCCAAAAACCCCAGCACTGCACACACCACATCTGCCCCTCTTCTCCCCATACTGCTCCTGCTGGGGTTTTACTTGGGGGCGTGGGGAAAAGAGGGAAGGGAGAGAGGAAGAAAAAGAAACCCCAAATCATAATTGCTATATTAAAGAGAAATAGCAGGCAAGAATAATAAGAGAGGTGTCAGAAGTGAAATACAGTAACAGACATTAAAAAAAAAAAAAAAAAA